GGCAGGATGTGCTCAAGACTTCACTGTACTTGTTTTTTCTTTGTCTGGCAATAATTGTCCCTTAGCTGAGATTTCATCCTGGAAACTGACCTTTGCGACCCACACATCACCCTTTGGCAGTTCCAAATAGGACGAGAATCCCCCTTGGATGCCCCTGAAAGTTGTTTATGGAAATCTGACTCAAAAGCGTAGTGTAGCAAAAAACCTTCCGCGTTGTCCGAAAAGATTTCTGTGCAGTCGATAAGATTTGAAGGAAATTTTTAGTGCCCCATTAAATACACGATCAGGTTCTGGGGTTGGTGCTGTCACTGCTTGTACTCACTTGCTATAGACAGTGACCGTGTCTGGGGAAGTGTTGGAATCTCAAATCCTTAATAACGTGGGGTCCTTTGATCCTTACCCCTGTTAATAAAACTATATGTTCAATAAATACTGTCCTGCAAATAGGTCAAGTGTCAAACGAGTTTTAAGAGTTTTGCTCCGTGTCTGAGATGAGGGGGGGAAAAAATTCTCTTGCCCATGCCTGGGTCTGTCAGACACGGGGAGCAGAGAGCTGTGCAGGTGGTGACCAGGGGTGAGTTACAGTGTGAATGTGTCACATCAACTCTGCAGGGTCAATATTACGGGAAAACTGCAATCAGTAAATATTGGAATAAAAAAATCCGAACACGTGTAGTATTGAATCACATTCTTCCTGAATGTTTGTGTCCCTTTTCAAGGTCATATGCTAGAAAAAGATAAAGATTTATTTTAGGCTTTTGCTGAGTAATACGGACTTGTGAAATGTACGTCTGTCTGCAGGTTGAAAAGTGCGTTTCATAATTTTTCTGCTTGGGAAAACTGAAGTTGAAGCCACAGTGCACTGTCTTTAAATTAAATTACGTCCTTGTGCATGTAATTTAATGTTTTCATACCTTTCTAAATCATAATTATGTTTTTTAGTCTCTAAAAAAACCCAGGATGTTTCTTTAAAAGTTGTGACTACTCTGTATTTTCAGTCCCTAGCAAAGTGCATCTTTCTTAATTGCTTTCTTTTTTTTAATCTTGATTTGAAAAATACAGATTTTTATTATGATAATTTGCATTAAGCAGAATTTTACTGGTTTTCATTAGGTGTCTAAAGGAAATACGGGGATCATCTTAAGATTTCCTTCTCTAATAATAATATGTCTCGCTAATAAGAGATTCTTTGGCGTCCTAAGTTTAGACACAAGGCTGAATCGTATCTTTAAAATTGAATGAAGGATATAAAATGCTGTCCTTTTTCTCTTCTAATGACAGAATTCCATACATGACAATAAGGTTTCCAGCTATTTGAAATAAATGTTTTGCAGTCATATGAAAATAAAGTTCTATATTTAAAAATAAATAGTTGTTTGTTTTCTTTACATGGGAAATGGAGGCAGTGGCTGCAGCCTTAGCATGGGCATCAAAGCATTCTCCTATCTTTTTCTCTACACTTAAAGTGCTTATTTATAAAGTAATTTCCAAGTTTCTTGCCGACATTACCTAACAAAGCTGACTTTTATTTCAGTTTAAGAAGGATGTATTTCAGTTTAGATTGGAATTCTTGTCAGATATTACCTGATTCAGATAAACCCCTTTTTTTTATCTCGATTTAACAGAATTGTATAAAACTAAACTCAAGGTCCTCTTTTCTGTAGGCAAGTCTTGCTCTTTTGAACTTTGGTTATTACACCTATTTCAGAGGATGCTGTCCTTTCATGTCAGTATTGCTTCTGACTGTATTGTCCTCCCTCTGTTTGCACTTTGAAACAGTAGTTGCTTTACCAGAATCAACATTTTTCTGATCCTACGAATGTAAAAGGCTTTGGAAATGAATTTCCTAGCTTAGAATGATCCGTAATATGTCATAGTCAACTGACAATCCCCGTTCTTGTTTTGGTACCTCGTGTAAGTGACCTTGGTACTTTCCAGAAGGATAAAACAATCAGATACCAAATTGTCCAACTGTGTAAATTTAGTGCACTGTTTTGGTGTCATTTCAGATCATGAAGAAAACTTACCTATTCAGTAATAGGTTGTAATATGCTGAGATGTATTTTCTGCCCTTTGAAGATATAAAGCCTGTAAGAAACCTATTTTGTGGAGAGCAAGAGCAGACATAGCTGAGCTGTGACTACTGATTTATGGGAACTTAAACAAGGAGTTGCTTTGTGTTATACAGTAGATGGAGTAACCTTTAACTTGTTAACTTGAGTTATTTGGACATTGTGATGCTTCACTTAAACAATTACTTTCGTGATAATTGTTTAAAAATATCAACAAGCTAAATTAGATCCTTTTTTATCATTGTAAGACTCTCTCTCTCTCTCTGGAGGTATAAGGTATATTGGATAACATGTGTTTCTTTTTCTTAGAACCAACACAGATATACAGATTTCTACGTACCCGGAATCTAATAGCAGTGAGTAATTGGTCTTTATCACTCCTTTACTTTGGAGTTTACTAGGAAACTAAAATTTACTAGGAAATTTTAATTAAAGCATAACTCTTTTTTTTTTTTTTTTTTTTCCTGCAGCCAATAATTTTGCACAGAACTCTCACTTACATGTCCCACAGAAACTCCCGAACAAATATCAAAAGGTAAAATTGTTTTTTGAAAAGTAATCCTAAAATGTTATTCAAGTAAAGTCTAAAAAAATAGTGGGGCAGGTGACCTCCTCTTTTCTCTTTTTGAATAACTTAAAAAAGAAAAAGGCAAAAACCACTTCAAACTTGATTTCTGAGAACTAAGAATTTTTCTGCAATGTTAAAAGTGTGTATGACTTTATGCTTATGACTTCTTTTGAAACTGGGAGTACTCAAATGTGGATAACTATCCGCAGAATCCTAATTCTCCCACATTTGTTTTCTGTTTTGGGGAAAAAATTCTTAAAAAACAAAGGAAACTGAGTAAGATCTGAGCTCTTGTAATCAGTGGCGCTTGATCATCGTAATGTGAAACAGTTTAAACTGTAACCTAACTGCTTATTTAAAAAAACAAACACAAAACTACTGGTTTTGTTAATTAGTCTTGGAAGGATCCACTAATTCTTTCTGTAATTATTTTAAAAGCTGAAAAACGAAGGAGGTCAGTTTATAGCATTTTACAGAGAGTCCAGCAAACACTTCAAATAGGTTGCTTTGAACTGGATACATCTGAGAAATGGGCTTCAGTTTTGACATTGAAAAATAGTCATTCCTGTCATGTGAGGTGCTACAGCTGCATGTCAGTAGACTTTAAAATATATAAATACTGCGGAGTGAAAAGTGCAGTGTACATTATTTATTAGCAGGATTGCAAAGTCCTTCCAGTTACTTCCCCCTCACTGAAAATTGTTACACTTTGGATTTTTGTGTAGCCTGAACACTTATTTTAAAATAATATTTTAACAGTAAAGTTCTTATCACTTGGAAACAGTTGCTGTGGGACTGAAATACTTAATCATGAACGCTTAAGGAATAGCAATAAAATCTGATTGTGCAGACAATTCTAATTCGAGCTGTATTTGTATCTGAGGAAGGTAATATTTGAATGATCTGTTGAGCAATAGAATTTGCACACTTTTATTTAAATTAAAGAAGATACATTTGTCATTCTCAGATCTCCTGGATATTGTTTACTGTTCTTGCCATTAGCTTTAATGCTCCAATGTAACTTTCTTAAAACTGAATCTGTAACATACAACTTTTGGTACTTAAGACAGGTAATGATCAGATTTTTTTTTCCCCCCCAAACATGAAGTTGCTGCTTACTTTTTTTTTTTTAACAAAAGTTACTGAAGTTAATTGTTTGCTATTTTAAAATAGGGCAGAGCCAAACTTTAAGAAATAATGTTCAGAGTGTTTCAGTTTTCTTTTTTAACTAAAGTTATGCAACAGGAAGTTCTTGCTTATAACTTAGACACATTTCAATCAATCACAAGTTAAAATGTTCTTTTACCTGAATCTGTTTCTTTGGTTATCTGCTGTAAGTTGCTGAGAAACAAGAAATGATACTTTGCATGTACGTTGTGTTGTCCGCTGTTTCAAATTCGAGTTCAAATTCAGCTGCACAAGCAATGCTTAGTTTCTCTTTGAAACATACTGTTTTCTATTTGTTCTTTTAACACTTTGTTTTAGAACTGTGATTTTCTAATGTGTGTCTTAATAACAGATAGCTTAATAGCCTTTCAGTCACTAGTTTTCTGACAGTACTGGTTTATTGAAATAATTCTGGTAATTATGTCTAGGAAGATTAAGTAAAACATTTCAGTATGTTTTCTTTATAAAAACACAATCATGCAACAGAAGTGAGCCAAGGGGGGGAAAAACAGAAAATACTTGTGAAGAAGTGCATTCTTTTCCCCTGGGTCCCCCTCTCCTGCTTTTCCATGCTTTGTTAGTGCTGTGGTCCTTCTCTTTCAGCCTAGTTAAAACCATAGAAGTTGTAGTTTAAAGGTAGTTTGGCCTACTTAGATGTAATGGCAAAACTGAGAGACTGTGGCAAAACAGTCTGAACTGAACTTGCAGAGGAGGTTAGTGGGAGAATTGTTGCTCATCTGTGCTGGTAAACACTTCAAAAATGCACACAAGACCTTAGTTGCCATTCTTCATTCAATAGATATGGTTAAGGTAGATGATCCTGTTATTCTGGTGAAAAGGGGACTTGAAAAGAGGAAAAATATCTGAACTAGAATAGAATATCTTCCTGAGCCTTATATTAAGAAAAAGTTATGTATCTAGCTTCAGTATAGTAAAAAAGCCAGTAGAGTTCTCTTTGCCAAGAAGTATCTTTTGGAACTGCATCATGTGGACCATGACTATATACGTATATTTGTTCATTCCCCTAGAATGTCTTAATTCTGCTATTTTGAAATTGCTGATCATTGTTTTGATTGCCATTTCACTAAACAGTATCATATGTAAAACACAAAGAAGTTATCTCTGAATTTCTAGAACTTACCTGTCACAATAGTAATTAGAGCTCCACATCTTTTATCTCTAGCTCTATGGTAGTCTGAGAAAAATGCCAGACAAATTTATCACTTGGAGGTAGGGAAGTAAAACTGCATTTTTACCAAGAAATTACCATTTATATTGGTCTGTATGTTTAATACTGAGAAGGTGTTTATAAAGACCAGAATGCTTAGAGCATAGAAAGATGTTAATAGGCAATAAGTTAATGGGCATGTGTCGGGCTAAAAAAGTATTGAAGTTGCTGCTTATCATTGGAGGGGTAATACAGTGGGTCAAGTGATGCTTCATGGAGAACTGAAATGGGCTTTCTGCCTGTGGGTCTTGTCTTCAGGTGTCACTATATTATTAAATGATGGCATTGGAAAGAAGTTACTAACTTAAGAAAGTTGCTTCCCGTACAATATTTGGATAAAGGAATAATTTTTTACTTATTGACAGAGTAATGACGTGCTGTGATGTGACTTACTTTGTTGATTATTACTGTGCTTGACTGGAGTAAGAGTGGGTGGAGAAAGGAATGCGCAAGATGCACATACAGCATGAGTAAATGCTGTCTTGAAATCCTGGATGTTAAGGGTGATTATTACAAAAACTTAATTTTGTCTGTTTTGGATGGGAACATGGTAACATAAAACCAGTAATTCATTGTAAAAGTGTTTCTGTATTTTTTTTTTTTATGTTCTTACAAGTTAACTTCAACAATTTTGATTTAATGGGGGTTTTTTAGTAGGTGGTTTTGTTTTTTCTGAAAGATTTTTAGTTTTAGTTAGTTTTAACTAACCTGAGTTTGACATTAGGAAAGGTTGCGTCATTGTTCTTTCTAGATCAGTAACGCTCACAAGCTGTGTCAGATATTAGTATATTTTATGAAAGATTGTTAAACTTTCCCCCATTCCTGAAACATGTTTGTCTCTAAGCTGGTTTCTGACTCATAATCTGATCATGACACAACTTTGCTCTAGAGCTGTTTTAAGCAGTTCTTTAGTTTGAAGACAGCCTTCTGAAGAGAAGTGTACCACTTGCTGTTGTGCAGAACAGTGGCTTATTTTGATGAGCTTGGGCAAAGTGCACGCAAGGACTTCTTTACCTTTCTGAAACTTTCAGCAAATTCCTCTGTTATTAACATCTATTGCTTTAAAGCTGAGCATTGTAATGTTCATTTTAATAATCCCATGTTTTAGTGTAGGTGAGTCAGTTCTTGAATCTGTCATCTGTGTGAACGTTAGGCTGAGGAGAGCTTTGAATCAGTGATTGTTTACTACACAAATCATAGTTATTTTTCTCATTATCTGCCTGCAGCCATGTACTTGTGTAGTGTTTCTTGTCCAGTATTGCTATTTAGTCACCATGTGATTTGTAACTAAATCATCCAGATGCATTACATGCTGAATGTAGACAATGTGTGACATCATGTCCCTTCAGTCAAGATATTTCTGTCGACGGTGCTTCCCACTTCCCCAGAGCATGTCATCGTTCTTCTCCCCACAAGAAATCAGTATTTGGCAATATCTTGTGTTCTTATTTCATTTTTCTGAGGTATCAATGTAAAGGAAGGATGTCCTCACAGCTCTGGCATTGTCACTCTAGTTGATTTCAGTTTTGTTGGCATCTAGGTCCGAGCGTTAATTTTTCTTTATAGAAAAATTCAAAGACAGTTCTGGAAACTATTGAATAACTTCTGTTCATGAGTGAACTTTAAATTAAATTGTATGTATGGTAGAACAGGATGAACGTATGAGCATGAACAGACTGACGTCAGAATTACAGAGAGAAGTGATTTGAAGTGATTATTCTCCATCACATTGTTGTCATTGGTTGGTGTTGTCATCCTGTTTCCTGTGAGCGTGCTCTAGAAGTAGTGTCAGAATTGATTGTTCTTTGTCCATTTAACATACCTTTGTGGAGAAAGAAGAGGGGTTTTTTGTAATTAGGTTTTTTAATTGTTTTGCCAGAGAAGGGTTTATGTTTTTCAGTATTATGATCAAGATTAAAATAGCAATGACTGAAGAGCTGACACATAAGTTCCTAGTAGGTATAGGTGTCACTAAAGCAGGAAGGTTTTCTTTGACCAGAGCTGGAATATGGTTAAGACACATTCATTGCAAAGTTTGAATATGATGCTGTTAAATGACAGTTCTGATGAGCAGTAGGATTATTTCTGAAAGGTCTGTGTCTAATTCTGTGTATTATTTTGATACTGCTTGAGAAGCTGTGTGCAGTTGTGTACGCACAAGTGTGCTACTAGGCCTGAAAAGGTATAAAAAGGTGCTTTCTGAACAGAAGGCTGAAATTATCAATATAGACAGTTTTAGACTGAAAATTAAGTCAAAGTTTAGGTTTAATAATTTTTCTTGTTACATACTATGGGAATAGTGGCTATGTGAAACTATTCTTTCTGCTTTTTCTTCACAGGAAAACATTCAAAGTAGATGACATGTTATCAAAAGTAGAGAAAATGAAGGGAGAACAAGAATCTCACAGGTACTGTCCTGCATGTGTATTTATGTGTATGTACAAATGAGCACATGCATGTGCTAAATCAAAAGGCTTTTTGATTGATAAAATTAACGTGATAAAGTGTAATTATTAGCAGCAGGGTACTTACTGTTTGAAATGTTGCTTCCAAAATCTTAAAATGAGTGTGTGTGTTAAGTGTGCCGGTCAGGTAAAAACTTGGAGAAAAGCAATGTCAGGATGAACTTTAAAATATTTATTATGCCATTTCTTGAAATGTGTATCGAAGCCTCAAATAGGTATTTGCCCTGACTTCTTTTTTGGTACTATGAAGTTGTACTACTTGGGGTTTTTTTTGGTTGTATACTTGATATTTTTAACCTTTGGTTGATAGTGATGTAAAAAAAAAAAACCCCAAACCACTTAAATGCAAAACGTGAAAACAAAACAAAAAACCCTGAAACTTAACAGTATTAAAAAGATCTTACTGATTAGAGTAACTAGTTATAAAATGTTTTCCTTAAAGGCTGCAAAACTTAAAATTTTCCCCTCAGATTTTCTTGTGAGAAATATTGCATAGTCTGAGATTTTTTTTGTGGTCTGACCCCACATCGATCTCATATCGAACCATTGCATAGTTCTATCCAAATAAGTGTTTCCCCTTTAACAAATAGATAATTTCAAGTCTTAATTCCGTATGGAATTGTTACTTTTGAGGGGTGGGGGCTTACTCTGTGAATTCTAATTGTGAAATGGTAATTAACTTTATTGTAGTGTAGTTGTTGGCTGCATCATGTCAGGTGGTTTTTTTTCCACGGGAGTTTACTTTAAACTATATAACACACTTAAATGTCAGATAAAACTCATATTTTACCAGGACTTACTAGTCTGCTTCAGGAAAAAAATACTGAACTCTTGCTGACCTTGCCATATTGTATTTGGTGAAAGTCAAAGTTCAGCAGAGATGTGAAACTTGTGACTGATGCTTTTTAGTTGATTTTCATCCCAGCCTGTTTTTATAATGATGACAAAAAGAAAGCACAGCAAATACACCTGGACTGTTGTTTCTTGACAGGTTTCCTAGTGCTGAAATAAAATGGTATAAAAAGCTTATTCACTGAGAAGTGATGTAGCATACAATGTGTTTGTGATATTTGAGTGTGATAAATGATGACCATAACTTTTTAAAATTATATTCCTTATGTATGAATTAAATGCCAAAGCTTTTTGTGAAAGTATGTATGATGGAAATTAACCGATCCATTGTAAGACTTCCAGAATAATTTTGTTCTAATCTATATGATTCAGTCAGAGATCCTGTCTTTGTGTTCCTTTTTTGGTAGAAAGACTGTAGATAATTTGCCAAAACCTTTCTATTTAATGTAGCGGTAGATCATGAAATGCAAAGCATTCTGGAAATTTTAAAACAAAACCAGACGTTTTAAAGACTAACCTAAGTTGCTGGAATGTGTGAAGACCTGTTGGGATGGTTTTTTTTGTGGTGTGTGTTTGTTTGCTTGGTTTTTAAGCAGGTGTTCTTTTTCCATAATGTTTACAAATAATTAGCCTACTTCAGGGGCAGCCATGCTAGATATAATTTATTCTGAAACAGAGTTACAGATTTTGTGTTCTAAGAGGTTTTATAGATTTACTGTATATTATTTTTCTTAATTATCTTTTGCTCCATATGTTGTAGATACTTGCTAGGTAAATATTCTCTTTTTTTTAAGAGTAAGGATCTTGTTGAAACAAAATAGTCAGAATATTGATTTGTGTGTGTTGGGTTTTGTGCTTTCAAAACTGTAAAAAAAATTACTTTAGTCTAGAACTGTTCTGGAAAAGCGACGTGGATGAATGATGCAGGTTGGTGTAGATGCAGGCTTTTGAATGCTCAAGCTGTTGGGCACTTTCACTGATCATCTCAGTGAATCATCATCTTGGTGATCATCTCTCGGGAATGTTTGTTTCTAAAAAGAGGCGTTGAATGTCAGGTTGTGTCTTCCTGAGGAATCAGTGCAAGTGCTCAAAACTGTATCTGGTGTTCTAGTGTGTCAGATGATATTTTGTTCAATACTATGTACTTCAGAAATACTAAGTGTTTTTGAGACCTATTTTAATCTATATTTATGAATACTTGCTTTTAGCTGAAATGTATTCCGAATTTAACAATTTGAAGTAAAATGGGTCTATAGTCAGCAGAATAGTCTAGGCTGTGAACTGCAACGCTGTGAAACAAAACAGATGCAATTATTGTTTTAATTGCATATCTTATAGCTGATATGGACTTGATGTGATGAGTAATCTTTATTTCTAAGGCTGTAGCTTCCCTGTTTTAAAGATTCTGCTTACCAAACTTAAAATACTTGTTTAAAAAAAAAAAAAAAAGAAAATTCAATACCAAGTGCGTGGTTCAGGCTGAAGTTCTAGACAACTTTCAGCAAAACTCATCTCTGTTGATGCTGAAGGTCCAGGAAATGTTTGCCTGCCTGTGAAGGCAAGCTCTGTTGCAGACAATACCCTTCCACTGGAGTGTTTAAACCTCTGATTTTTATTTCTTTTTTTTTTTTTTTTTAATGTATCAGGTAATAGATTTGATTACAGAGAGAACTAGTTGTAAAGAGAAAACTGTTCTGCAGCTTTGTGTCGGTTGCAGCTGCTGCGTCCAGGCAGTTTCCAGGTTTGAAAGACAGACCAGTTAATGATAGTTCTGGCTCTTGTGTAGGCCTGTCCTGAACATCAGGGAATGGAGTGGCTGCTGGGAGAAGAAATTACTTGTTCTAACTTTTCCTTTCTTTTTTCTGTTTAGCTTGTCTGCTCATTTGCAACTTACGTTTACTGGGTTCTTCCATAAAAATGGTATGTTTGCTAATTCATTCATTATACTGTTAATTTGTATAGCACCTTTGAAATCAGTTTAGATCTGTGAGAGGAATATTGGAATATTTTGAATCTCTGCTGTTTGGATGCAGATTTTAATTTATTTAAGCTCAGATTGTCCCATTAGTTACAATACTTTCAATAGCACTTTAAATATGTTGTGGTGAAATTGTAATGCTAATTAGGGGTTTTAGTTAAAACAGTGATTTTGAGAAATACTTCAAGTCATCATCATTTCAAACTGAAACAGACCTTGAAAAGTTCCTGAAGAAAGTGATTTTATGGGAGTGTGTCTTTGGGGTATTTGAAATAGCTTTAAAAAAAACTTGAGTGTTTTTAAACACTCAAAAGATTCAGTGTTTTTTAATTTGAAATGGAAGTGTAAGAATAAGTTTTATCAAGTAATTCTAGAAATGAGGCAAAGGCCACGTCAGCAGTTATAAAAGCAATGGAAATCACGTTTTCGTGACCTGCAGTCGTTCTGTTGTGTCTTTTATGCACATAAGGCTTTACTTCTCAAAATTACAATATTGGCCTTCCCAGACCAGATGAAGGGTTCTGTTCCTTTAAGGAAAGCAGAAGTGGCATGCTTTGTGCTGTACAGGCATGGGTGAGCTCACACTGTCTTTTTACTTCCCTGGAAAAAAAAAAAACAAAGCCTGTTTATCTCTGAAAATTAAGTGGTGTTTCTAATTTTTCAGTTAAAAATATTCTGAATGGCACCGTAGTCTTCAGTTGTAAAAGCCAATACAATTCATGTAACAGGTTTTGTACGGTTTTTTGGAAATTGTTATATTCCCTCAAGGTGTCTTAGGCTTAACCAGATCTATTCAGTAGGATGTTTGAAAGTTAAAGTTTCAAATGTCTAGATTTCAGAATCGCTTCATTATTAAACTGTAATACTATTCTGAGCAAGTTCTTCAAATCTGTAGATTAGGAACATGCTGCTTCTGGAACTTCAGAATATTGCTGATCTCAATGGATAGTGTTCATCTTATTTCTGCTCTCAGGAACTTTGTGTTGTATGTTGCTTTCAGCATTTAAGCTGGGAAACCAGAGACTTTTGGGGCAGCTAGTGATAAGAATGGAGAAGTGTGGAATAAAGGTGGAGGAAAGGGTTTGCTGGTGTGTCTTAAATTCACATATGTAACTTCAAAATCTGATCCTTCCAGGACAGTGTGTAGTAGTAAACCTCATGTGTGGAATTTAAAATACCTGGTGGATGGGATAGTTATTCCATAGACTTTGCTGACAGACCTTCCTTTTCTTACTGCTTTTCTCTTACGGTTGGTGGGCTTACACAGACATGGGCTGTAGTAGTTGTTTCAATATGGTAATATATTTGATGACATTCTGTATCTTTTTGAACGTTTAGACTGAATGTGATTCTGCTGTTAACAATAAAAAACTTTCACTTTGAGAGAGAGTACTTCTGTTGAGAGCCTGATGGTCATTTGTACAATAGAAAGGGATATCGGTAACAATAGTAATGTATACTATAGTGAATATTAAATATAGAAAGTATTTAAATGAATGAAGCTAGTGCAATTAATATGCTTATTTGTCTGGATAGAAAATATATTGGAAACCCTTGAAACTGAGAGTGTGGTGGAGTTTTGGTTGTGTCCCCTCCCCAAGTTTCTGTAAGAAGATTTCTAATATGATGTCCCCTCCACCCCAAGTTTCTGTAAGAAGATTTCTAATATGTTTCGTGTTTACAATTTAAAAAAAAAAAAATCCATTTGATTCATAAAACTGCTGGTGTCTCTAGATGAGTTACCACAACTCTCTCTCAAATTAAACATGTTAAGCTTGTTCAGTGTGGGTATAGTGTCAGGAGGAAAGCAAGTGAAGAGACATGGGTTTTGTCTTTATTATGCTAAAGCTTTGCTCTTTATATCTGATGAGCATAACAAAGTATTTAATTGAATGTCAGATTCTTTGTGACGTGGGCTAAGGTGAAGCCATTGTGCTTTTTAACCTAAGCCCATAATATTTGTAGGATTTTAAAAGAGCAGAAATAATTTGTAGATTCATTCGATTTTGGCTGATGATTGTTTTTCAGAATTTCTTTTACAGAAAGAAATTCTGTTTTTTAACCAGATATATAAACAAGTTTTATCTTTGTATTCTTTTTCCCTATGAGGGTGCGTTTCCAGATTAATGTAAATTCACATGATCAAGGATTCTTTTACTAGACAGTGAAATTTATTTTGTAAGGCACTTCTTAATTGGCATTGCTGATCACACTGCTGGTAATAGCTGTCTTGAAGATTCCAGGCTCTAGGAAATTTGTAGTGCAGAGACTGTGAAGCCAAGCCTTATTTTCTGAGACTTTTTCAGGTTCTTTCAAGAGTCTTTTAACAGCTATTCTGCATAGACTTAACCCTGCGTAATCGTTAAGGTTTTTTTTCTTCTGTTTTGTTTTCTTATCTGATAGCATCTGGGTCTTAAGTTTTGTTACAAATCAAATTCTAAGGTTGCAAACTGTAAAGAAAAAAAGAAATTATAGGAAATAATTTGACTTATCTTTACTTAGTGTATTCTGACTTCCTTAAATCTACCCATATCCTTTTTCTCTGCAATGCCAAAGGTAGCAACCTTACTCTTTTAAGTATTGGAGATCAACTATGCTTTTTAATCTGCTCCTATTGGAATAGTTAGGTAGGGTATGTTCTCAAGTGGGAATTTGCAGTAAGTTTGGGGAGAATTGAAACTTAGAATATGACTAAAGGTCTTTGAGCCTGGAAGTACCTGTGGTTAAAAAGTAACTACAGGTGGATTTACACCATTGAATAGACCTTCACTTTCTCAGAACTGAAAATATTTTTCTGTTTAGATAAGCCATCACAAAACTCGGAGAATGAACAAAATTCTGTAACCCTGGAAGTACTGCTTGTGAAAGTTTGCCACAAGAAACGAAAGGTAAAAACGATTTGACAAACTATTAATATATATCGAAGCAAAATGTTTCCCTAATTCTGGAACATCTAATTAACATTGCCATAGAGCAAGGTAATGGTGAAATGATGCTTTGGTTCAGATTAATTTAGTCTTGTAAGTTTCAGAACTAATCTGTTCAAGTTGTTTTCTATTGACTGGGTAAGGGATTCTTAAGAAGATATGTATATATGTGTGTGTGTGTGTATATATACATGGATTTTGCTCTGCTTTGTGGGAAATAACTGGAAGTTTTTTTTTAAAAATCAGCTTTGTTAATAGAATATAGCTTGGTTATAAGTCAGACTCACTCATTGTGAATTTTAGCCACCTCTTACTTCAATTTTTTTTGTATCACATCATTAAACTAGTGGTGTCCAGAGGCTTAAGTAAACCAGGCAATCACAAAATCATAAAGTAGTCTCTGCCTTTTAGAGTTTAGAAATAAAAAGGAACAAGTTGTAATTGTTTTGAATTCTCTAGTCATCTGCCAAGTCTTATCTCTTTCCTTGCTTTTTCTGTACCTGTTTTCTGCATTCATCATCTCCATTGTTGCAGATTTTAGCTACTATGAATCATAAACAATTTTCATCTTTTTTTTTTTTAGCTTTTTTTTTTTTTTTTTTTTTCTTGCTGTTTCAGCTATGTTTGTTTCACACCAGTTGGCAAATTATCTTCACAGCTATGGGAATATGGAAGGCTCAGTAATGCATGCTGTAATTTTTAACCAAAAAGGGAAAGATTTGCAGTCAGAACTTTGTATATTTTCCCTAAGAATGTTAAGGTGTTTTGACTTAGTTTTAAGAGTTAATATTGTTTCTAGCCAATTTTTGTAACTTGCTATAGTATGGATAAATATGAGAGAAGCAGGCAGTGCTGATGGTTATTTTAAATGTTTTGCTGCAAGTTTCATACTTAGGCCATCTTGCCTTGTTTTTCTAATACTACACAGTATTCAATGATCTATTTGAGAGATACTGAATATAATAAATCCTAGGTAAGTGGTTCTTTATCTCCCAGATAGGACAAAGTGCACTTTGTAATATTGGAAGGAGAAGATAGGAAGCCCTTGAAATATATATATATAACCAAAACATTTAATTTCTTTAGGTAAACAGAATTAAATTAGTATTAATGACTGTTCTACAATCTTTCTGAATGCCTCGTGTTAGTGTTAGTTTAATCACTTAGAGAAAGATGGCTGCTGCCAGAAGCGGTTATAAAATGCTAGTTTTATTTACACTTTCAAATATCTTTTTACATTTAAAACCTGATTCTAGATTTTTTTAAAATTTACATCTATTACAAGGCTTATTTTAAAAAAGATGACAGGACAAGTACAGTTCATAAATGATATAAATTTTAACACTTAATGTCTTTACTTTGTATTCTGAAAACCTAAACCTTAGCTTTCTTGTTTTCCTACAGGACGTCAGTTGTCCGATAAGACAGGTTCCTACAGGTAAAAAGCAGGTGCCTTTAAACCCTGACCTCAGCCAAATAAAACCAGGCAACTTCCCATCACTTGCAGTTTCCAGCAATGAGTTTGAACCAAGCAACAGCCATATGGTGAAGTCTTATTCATTGTTATTCAGAGTAACTCGCCCAGGAAGAAGAGAGTTTAATGGACTGATCAATGGTGAAACTAATGAAAACATTGGTAACTTCAATCTTTAAATATGCTTTTACAGGGTTTATCTTGTAGGCACGTATATGGTTGTCTTGATCTGCAGTGTAGGTCACACTCTGAGAAGGGCCAGTAATAGTGACTGGATTGGCTTTCATCTGTTTTCAGTCTTCTTCAAGATGGTACTAAAATACAGGTAGTAGCTAGAAACTGCTTCTGTGTTTATCTGAGTTTAACACCAAATTTACTAACATGTGAGGCAACACTCTTGAAGGGTGAATAATGTAAGAGAGCCCTGTGGTCACTGTGACTGTTATCAAACCTCCAGCAACACTGGTCGCTAGTGACTCAGCTGTTGGTGCTATTGTGGTCTCTCATCAAAACTAAAAGATTAGCCAATAAAGAAAAGTAACAAATTTTTAAAAGCTATTTTCTTAATCTTATCAAGACATTATATGTTATATCACAAATGTTACAGCCTTGGAGAGTGCATGTAGAATGAAAAACTTCCTTTCTCAATATTTTATAGCTACAAGAGGAGGAAGATCAAATCACAGATTCTTTATGCTGACACAGTAATATGACCAAACTATAAATTTATGGGAACATATCTAAAATATTGTTGCTGTTAACCTAAATGTTCCTTCCATTGCCATTGAGCTGTTCACTAAATACTGTGTCCTTTTCTGTTGTATGACACATCTGACATCATCAACAGCCAGTTATATTTTACGATTGCGTAGAAGCTGTTTGGTCTTTAAAATCTATGCTTATATAGTAATTGAATTCCATATTTCTTATGTACAGATGTCAATGAGGAGCTTCCAGCTAGAAGAAAAAGAAACTCTTCAAATCGTGAAGATGGAGAAAAGACATTTGTAGCACAAATGACTGTATTTGATAAAAACAGGTAATATTATTAAAAATAAATATTGTTTCTGTTAATCATTAGGAACTTATTTAATGTTAGATTTTAAAATATGTTCTTTATTTTATTTTTGCTTCTTCTGTGCTGTTCAGCAAGTGGCAACAAAATAAAACTATTGAAGTAGAAATCAGAATTTCTCAAGCCTCACTGAACAGACTGCTCCATAGGAGGAAGCAGGATGAGACAGGGAGGAAAGTGAAAATGCAGCATGTTGGTTTACATGTTTGAATTATCCATTCTAATCTATGTAAAATGGGGTTTTTTGTTTGCTTTTTGAGAACATCATACTTTGTATTTACTGTGTTTAAGTCCTCTTAAGGTTACATCTGGTATGGCTCTGATACAAAGGCAGGATTCTCTAGTTTTGGAGGTCTGATGAGATATCATACTGGTTTGCTAGAACAGAGTAGTTATTAATAAAGCAGAAATAAATAAGAGATTATTTGGAGGGGGTGTCATTAAGTTTGGTCTTTCTTTCTTCACAGGATGATTCCCATCATATTGTTAATACAAAACTAATACTAGCTTCCCTGCATCTCTTGGAATCGCTTGGATGGAGGCTTTTGCGTTCATGTTTGGCATGAGGCAGTTTTTTTTTGTTATGGATGGTGTTTACCTAAGATTCACACTCAGTTGCCAAATAAATATTTCTGAAAATCTGTCTTCAGTTTCACGGAGACATACTTCCTGTGAAACAAATTCTACATTTTAATAGGAAAACAATAAAAATGAGCTGCTTTACTCATAATACATACTTTATCTTGACAGGCGCTTGCAACTTCTGGATGGGGAATACGAAGTGGCCATGCAGGAAATGGAAGAGTGTCCCATTAGCAAGAAAAGAGCAACATGGGAAACAATACTTGATGGGAAGGTATGGATTGTTTTAGTGGCTGTCTTCACTTAAAATGGTCTGGATTAAGGTGGAACACAATTCAAAGTGTAGTCAGTGGCTGTTCCTCTGAAAATGGATTAAATTGAACAGGAAATAGTACTTCTCTTTCAAGATGTATGGACATAAGTTTTAATTTATCTCTATTTAGGAAAGCTTTGCTATACTAGATCATTAATACGATCAGATATTAACTGCTGTAGGTAGGGCAGCTGTCTCTTTCAATGACTTCTGGACTTATGTCTTATAAAATCAGGCAAATTAAATGTTTGTTATGGTAATAAATTCAAGTCAGACAAATCAAAAGGAAAAAAACTGCAGAAGCAGAATATTTTGGGGAAGGAAAGTAACCCAGAGCTTTCATAGGTGTGATCTTACACACCTTAAAGACTGATGAAATTTAGTGATGAAGGAAGAGGGTGTGTCAGTGTAGGCGAAAGCGGTGTACAGAGAGAAGCTGTTGACTGAGGTGAATCAGCGCTTGGTGATACAGTGAATGCAGTTGATTTTATACACTTACAGTCACACACTCCTCTGTCCTGGGAGAGTATAAGTTGTAAGGGACTGAGGAGAAGGATATAAAAATTCTAGATGGGTGCAAAGTAGGTGTGTATCAACATGATTATATAATTATGAAAAAAGCAGAGGTGATCCAAAGTATATAATAAAAATTTAGTTACAAGCTCTATTATCCTGTTCAGCCTTTACCTGGAATACTGCTTCTGATTCTGTTAAACTGTGTTCAAGAAAATGGAATTGAAATAGCTAGGAACAGCTTTTAGGAAGATCATGAGGAGATCCTCCACATGTAAATGTGCTTAAGAAAATATATATAAACTGCTATAACTTTGTTAAACTGCGAGGGGGATATGGTTGCTTTCTGTTGTTGGGAGAATGTGAGAGAGGTTTTTCATACTGGAAGTGCTACCCCAAAGAGAAAAAAAAATAGTTATGGCCAATGTGTAATCACCCAGATTTGATATGCACATTGTTTTCTGGTTTTGCAATGATTCTACTGTTTTTTTTATTCTCCCATCAGAGGTTGCCTCCATTTGAAACATTTTCTCAGGGACCTACACTTCAGTTTACTCTTCGTTGGACAGGAGACACAAATGATAAGTCTACAGCTCCTATAGCAAAGCCTCTTGCAACACGAAATTCTGAAAGCCTCCCTCAAGAAAACAAACCCAATTCTGTTAAACCTACTCAGACTATAGGTAAGCAAATTTTTGTTTTGCTGCTGAATAATCATTTGCTTAGTACTTCTGTGCTTCAGGGTTCCTGACTCACTGGTGCAGCTGCTTCAGGTAATCTTAAACATGAAAAAGCAAAAATGAATGGGCTTTGTTGTATCCTATTTTTTGTACAGTTGTTTGTTGGTTTTTTTTTTTAAGGTAAGTTAGAAAGCTAAAAATAGTGGGGTCTTTGAAGTCATGACAGTATTGAAGTGATTAGATACAATCCTCATAAATCCTGATGTGAAATAAATTGGAGGAAAATCTGTGAATAGGACTTCTAGGATTGTCTGTTTTGCTGTACTCATTTTAATTACTGTTCTATAAATATTTGGATTTATAGTATTAATAACTTCCCTTTTTTATGCTTTGTAGTGTAAATAGTTTTAAAAGGTGTCTATCAGATGATATATTTATCTCTTGGAAAATGTAGCTGCTACTGTGAAATGTGACACAACACCACAAAGGGATCTAGCTGTACAGCAGGTAGCATACTATTTGATTATAATAAAATCAAGGAATTAAGCATAATGTAGTTTTTACATTTTAAATACAATTTTGTTATTAATTCAGTTCTGTTGCTTAATTGCAATTTTGTTAATATGTTTCTGAAAACATGTTGTTTTCCTTGCTGTCCCAGAGCTTAGCTCAAAAAAGCTATTACTGAAATACTTTTTGACACTAGCTAGAAAAGGCATCTTTGAAATTACCATTGTGTCCTTTTTTTTTTTTTTTTTTTAAATAGCAGTTTCCTGTCTCAGGATCATATTTAACCTGAAACTCCACTTTGATTCTGAAGTAGCAGTGGAGGCTGGCCTAGATGCTATCTTTCTTTTGTCTTGCTCACAGTTATTTGTAACTTTGGCTTGGAATACTGTGTTGGCAGGTGAGGCCGAAGGACAGCTGGAAAACTTAAATTGTACAGAAGGCAACAGGCTGCTCCTGTTGTTTAAACACCTAAGAACATACCCAGACTTGACTGGCACCCAGTTAGCTTCAGTGTGATCAGTATTTCCAAGCTTGTAACGAGGTTGAGACTGTGGTTAAGGAAACTCCTAGGTCCCTATTATAGAAGTAATTATCTGGAGTGCAGTGGTTCTGTCTCCAGACTTAATCTCTGGGGTATGTAGCTAGGCACTGTTTGTGAGGAGTTGTCTTGCTTGGAGTTTTGGGGTTCATCAGAGAATTTGTGCAAAATAGTATTTCAGTCTGCATGTTGGAAATATAACTATGAGGTTTTGGAGCTGTAGTAGTGATTGCAAGGGAATGATTATTATGAAAAGAAAAAAACAAAACCAAAACCACACACACCCTCACCCCATCCCCCCCCAAACCAAAAAACCCCTGCTTTTCCAAATGTGCTTTTTATGCAGTTGTATTAATATATGTGTTGGGAAACTTGATGGGTCAACAATAGCTCGTCTCTGGTGAGACTTTCCAAGAGTAGCAATTCTTTTCACTACTTTTAGAGCTTTAGTGTGTAGTAATACAAAAGTTAGAGCAAGAAGAATTTCACTGCTACCTGTGCAGAAGCCACTGCCTAGAATAATCTCTAACATCCTCAGCCAACCTAGAGACATCTTTGTCTTTGGAAAGAGTATGAGAATATTTAAATAAGACTGATTCCTGTCTTCTGAACTGAATATTTTGCCTGAGCTAGGGATTGCAGAGGCTTAGGTTTCTTAAATAGGGATGAATGGCTGACACTTAATGCACACAAACATGAAGTTCCGATAGAAGAAAGGCAACAGAAGTGGGGAAGTACTCGAGCTTTTGCTGTAAAAGTTGTTCTTCTTTCTCTTTACTTCCTCCTACCAGACCTCCTTGTATTTTAGAGTTTCTTGGAGACCTATATTGTAATTTGTTAGTCAAGCTTTATGTTCAGACTTGAAAAAGAAATGGTGGTATGTTGACTAACTCTTGAAGGTGTTTACTACATAATAAATAGAGAGGCAATAGGGACATGGCAATGCTGCATTGCTAATGTACTGATAGAACTCATTTTTTCCTTGCATCAGAGAAGCTAAGTATTCCAGTAAATTAGTAAAGTTACAACAAGGGCCACCTTCCAGAATAGTACAGCAGTCCCAATACAGGAACACATCGTAGTGCGGTGCGCAGCATTGTAGGGTGTTGATGACAGTGGTGCTGCCTTCAGTCTCTGAATACCAAGCAAGGAGTGAAAATAGTAGGAAACCTCTATCAGTTAAAGGTTCTGATAGTAAAAGAAAAAGCTCCTGTGCATCTTTCCCAAGGGTTTATGAATTTAGTGTTGTCATTTTACTTTGGCATATTTCCCAAGGTAGACCAGTCGAATAAAGACATCAAAGACTTTCTAAATGTGGCAGCTTAAGTTTGCTTTAATTACAAAGTGCTCAAAGTAACTGAGCCATGGAATTCTGATTTCTCTGATGTGGTGCAGGCTGAAGTGTCAGGCTTCCTCTCTCTCATACAGAAAGAGAATGAAATTTCCCTTGTTCTCCAAAATATTAAATATTAAGTAAGTGCATCTTCTAAAAGATCTCAATATGTTAGTAGAGCTGGGACTTGTTTTGCCATCTTTTTCACCATTCAGAAGCAAGTAGGTGTCAGGGTTCTCCTGAGGGTAGGTTTATAAACCTGCTTAGATATGTGGGGTTTCTTGTTAATTGTATGGAATCGAATAATCTTACTGAGATTGAAATGTATGGAAGAGGCTCAGAGGCAACTGAGCAGTGCCATTACACACATTAACAGTAAGTGAGGGATAAAAGTTAGGGGTTAAAGTTTCAGTTAAATCTTTTGCTACTTGCATTTCATACTGTTTTATCTGTTGTGTGACTTGGGAAACTTCTGAAATTGAATTTAAGCAATGTATTTCCAATGCAGTCACCTGAAAGCAGTGTTTCTTTTTTATTTCCCAATCACACCTGCTTTTAGCTATACCTAAAGAATTCTCAATTTGCTTAAATGGAGTAAGGGAAATGTTCTGTTTTACTTGACAGTTTTTAAGTTCTCTGAAAGGTTCTCCAAAAATGGAGATAAATGTGGTGTTTAAAAGTGGTGGGTTTGCCTGTAGATTTGTGAAGAAGGTTGAGAATCAAGACCTCCTTGTTGCTGATAAGGAGGTCTTGATTCTCTACTTTCACAAGAATTGAAAGTGAAGAATTTTCACTTCTTTCTGAGAAGAAGCAGCAGCGTGCCCTTCTGAGAACTTCCATACTTGAGTAAGAAACAATGTCTTTTTTTTCCTTTTCAAAAAAGTAATGTATATCTATATGTGGGGGGGTTTTTTTCAGCTGTGAAAGAATCCTTACCAACAGACCTTCAGACAAGAAAAGAGAGAGATGTTTTAAATGAACCTCGACAAAAGTTGCGAATATTTTACCAGGTATTGAAAATTAGCATGAGAGAGGAAAAACCAGATTGTAAATGTTGCATGAAATTAAAATGTTCACTTCTCTTCTGAGTTGGGTGGAAATTTCCATTTGCCTTTTTAGTGGATGCCTTAAAGGGTCTCAGATTCATATATTAAAGACCATTCCACATATTTCTTCTTACAGGAAGTATTTTAGAAAACTAATCTTCCTGTGGGCACATCTGACATTCCAAAATACAAAGGACGTCTCTTGTTAGACATCTGGAGGAGAACAGGTGGTCTCCCTATGGGGAAAAAATTCTTGAAATACCAGTGTTTTGGTACGCTGAGCTGATGTAGCATTCCCAAGAACTTACTATTACTGTAGAGGTTTCCTGAAATTATGTCCAACTTTGATTTGGGGGTTGGGAGGTTAATGAATGAAACACATTTGATGCTAATACCACCTATTCCTTTGTTTGCATCAGTTCCTTTATAACAACAACACAAGACAGCAGACTGAAGCCCGAGATGACTTGCATTGCCCATGGTGCACACTGAACTGTCGGAAACTGTATAGTTTACTCAAACATCTTAAACTTTGCCACAGCAGATTTATTTTTAATTATGTTGTAAGTAGTCTTTTTGTAGTTCAGCACTATCAAACCCTGTACAGTCTGTCTCAGATATTACAGATGCATTGATTCTGTTGCTAGCCTGTTAAGTTGTAGGACTGTATCTACAGGTTAAATTCAGCTTCCTTTGAATGTTATATGAATGTTTGCAAGTTACGTGAGGGGGGGGAAATGTGGGTTTAATTTCTTTTTTTTCTTTTTTTTTTTCTTTTTTTTTTTAGCTGTTGCATTACTATATTCTTTTTACGTGATGTAGAAAGCAATGTAATCTGCATTTGGCTGGAAGTCTGTTGATGCTTTAGGAAGGTGGCAGACATTTAAAGACAGTATTATATTTACTTATGCTGTTAAGGACCTGTTCTTACCAATCTGACCTTAAAGAGAAGTTCTGTCCTATTTATTCAAAGATAGTGTAGTTTCCTATACCCACTACCCTGCTCAGATTATTATTCTGAAACTTCACTCAGCTGGTTAGAAATGTTCTAATTTCTAGAGTAAATTGATGGATGTTTTCCTTAATTTCATAATTAGTTTTATTCTGAGTGGTTTTATATAAAAGAGTAAAATGGTGCAGAGCAAGGAAGCTTTAGTGTAATTTGTTTCTAGAGGCGAGAAATTATTTGGATATTGTAAAAGGAAACTAGAGTTATGTCAAGTTATTGATAAGGTGATATTTAAGGTACTCGGAATTGGAAAGGTTACTTGTTTAAACCTTCTGTTGTATTGTCATTACTGTTTGCTAAGTATATTTGCAATTACCTGTTTCAGTATCATCCCAAAGGTGCTAGGATAGACGTGTCTATCAATGAGTGCTATGATGGCTCCTATGCAGGAAATCCCCAGGATATCCATCGTCAACCTGGATTTGCCTTCAGTCGCAATGGACCGGTCAAAAGAACTCCTATCACACACATACTTGTTTGCAGGTAGGGAGATGGAAAACAAAGTCTATCTGTATTTGTGTAATATAGCAGATGAACTGGATTTGTGAAACCTAGGGATTTGTAAATCTGTAGGTGCACGTAAACAGTCTTAAATTTCACTATCATTAAAATACAGTGGTTTATGACTAAATAAAATGTTATTGAAGGATGATAACTTCACCTGTGATTTTTCTGCATCTTTTCATGGTGGCTAGATGATGGCAAAGCAGTGGAT